TGGGAAGGGAGAAAGACATACAAACGCGGGTGGTGGTGTTTGGTGGTTGTGTCGGTAGTAGCAAAACAAAAAGGGTCCCCCCCCCCCCCCCCCCCCCCCCCCCCCCCCCCCCAATCCGCCCACTCAATTTGGCGTGAAAAATGAAACTGAAACTCTGAAACTCTGGCAAGTGAAAGGCTTTGTCGAAACCATAACTACTTTAAAATAGGTTTGCTTTGATTCACAATAATTTTTTGGCCACGCTGGGGCGCGCTGAGTATTTTGCACCCCCACGGCCAATTTGCACGTCTTGAAAATTGAAAGTTATGCATCTTTTGCGGCGCTGTAAAATGTTTGGTTTGCACTATCTGCCAGTGAAGTTTATATCTATTTTTAGGTAAACACCTTTAGTTTTTCCTGAAAGTGATAGTTATCTGCTAAATTTGTCTGAAAAGACGAAATCAACCAAAATATGACCCCAAGTAATTGCCTTGGAGCGAAAAGCCAAAAATGACCGTCGTTTATAAGCTGATTTCTGACGTTTGGGACCTTGTTGAAAGCTCTAGACATTTATATAAACTTAAAATACCTAATTGTCCAACCTGTTTTCAGGAGAAAAGGTGTAATTTTCTCTCGTCGTTTTCAGACAAACATATGTAATTTTCACTTCATTTTGAAATATCGAATCGTTTTTTATCATTTTCGCACCTAAGTAAATTTTCTGTCAACAACAACAACAAGACTTTATTTAGACAGGGTGAAAACCAGAATTAGACAAAGTAATTTTCATCCGGGCCCTGCTAAATTAAAAAAGAAAAGAAATAATTACAATTATTATACTTCTAATCTAATACTTATGAAGGATAAAATACATGCCAATAAAAATATATTTATTTATATAAATGATATAAATATTATAATATCTGATCAATAAGGGAATCACCAGAATACAAGAGAGGCGCCTGGACATAAGAATGACTAATTATGGACATCAGGTATGAGTCTCCGGTTGTCTCCGGTATAAAGAATCAGACTTCATCTCAGGACCATTGTGTTTCTACGCCTTCAATCTAAATTTATACGTGATTTTCTCCTCGCATTTTCGCACCAAAATACGCGGTAATGTTTTTCAATCAGTTTCCCCTATTTTATGACCAAAATGTCTTATGCCGCCATTCATTTTATACCAAAATGCAGAATTTTCCATACCCATCATTTGACCAAAATAATGTGTTATTTTCTTCCGACGTTTTTCTCAAAAAAATATACATTTGGTTCACTTAAATTTCCTGAGTAAAGGATAGAGGAAATTGCATAATTTTTAATAGTCTAAAAAGGAGGGAAAAGAAAAGGAAAATTAGACCAAAATGTGCTATTAAAAACTATACCATTTTCTTTATCCTTTTTAAACTAAAGTAAGTAATTTTCGCTCAATTTTCTGAGCCAGGCACTTTACGTTATTTTCCCTCCTACTTTGTAGACTTAAAATGTATATAGAAAGGCACTTTTTAGGAAAAAGGGGAATATTAAGGCGCGCACCACTGAATGGGTGTGGGAGAAAGGAATACACCGGAATGCCGACCTCCCCTCAGTTTAAACCATTGTCTAAAGTGGTAGACGAAATATAATATATAACGTTTATAACTTTCCTTTTTCTATATTGAGAGTAAAATATGTTACTTTCTCTTTCTGATTTCTCTCAAGTCCAGTTTTCGGTTAGAGACAAATGTTTTACCCTGCTCTTTTTTCCCTTTGTACCTTCTAATCCATAATAGAATTTAATATTGTCCCTTCACTTGCAGCCGACTAGAATTCGTACTTGTCTTGTCTCATTTTCAGACTAAATATGGTTTCCCCTAACCACTTATACATTTTGATTTAATCCACAAGTCGAATTTTAGTAGATAGGCTTCCCGCTGTAGAAATTCTAATGAAGTTATTTATGGAAACTCGCTCATTTTCAAACCAGCAGGAACCGTCGCACTAAATCGATCGTTGAAATATTTCTGACCCCCACAGGCTTATTGAGCAGTGGGAACAAGGATCCGCGACAATCTGTTTGTCGGTCGAAGGTCTTAACAAACGGGCCGGGTGCTGTTTCAACGAGGGATTCAAAACAAACGTTCTTTCAAGAAATTTGATAACTTGGCACCGTACAGACCGTACAGAGATTCAAAGATGACGTTTTGAGTACACCTTTTGAACCTTTTTCCAGTAAATAATTTATCTTATCAAATTCTCTGATAAAAAACGGGAACATACAAAATTCGAACTTATTAAACTTATTTTAGTTTATGCAGCATCTCTGTGACGCATGACGCAATAACATTCAGTGTAAATCTTGTAAAGCTGGTTGGTTTCCCGCTGACCATTCTCTATAAACAAGATCATTTTGTAGGTACGCTTCGTTGGTCGCCAATGGTAGTAGTTCCAGGGGTCTTGGACTCTCATAGCGTGTATTGAACTTTTTCCTTGGTTTATGAGCGCATAGTTGTTTTAGCAAGCTGTTTTGTTATCATAACTTCTGTTTTATGCTGCTCATCAGGTCAAAAACCACGACAAATAACAAATAACATATACCAAAAATGATATTATATTTACAGCTGGAAACATCAGCCAATGAAGAAGGGGATATCGTAGCGACGGTGATCATGGATGAAGCCACCAGAAAAAAATACTTAGTAAAATTCGGCAAATTTTAGTTAATAGACACGGGAAGAGCAAGGACTACCGTATGTAAATATTAGCAAATAAAAGCGTCCCAGGGTAGGCCTCGACTGTAAACTACATGATTCATAACTCAAACTTCCGAAACTGTGTGGTCAAATGTATTCATTGTGTCAGTTTGAACGTTTTCCTAGGTAGTGTAACAGTTAAGGTAAAATGAAGCTATTTTAAGCAAAAATAGATTCTAGTCCTTTATTGCAGCATTTATTTCATCCCTCCAGTCTTTAGTATCGACTTATTCCATACATTAGAATAATTATTTGCTATCAAAGGAGAAAGTTTTTGAAACTTTAAAAGAGTTAGTTTCTCTTGGAAGTGCATTTTGTGCCAAGTAGTCTTACCACTGAATTTAATTTTATGGTGGCGCTGGCGATGCTTGAGGAGGAGTAGAGACTCCCATGAGTGATGGAGGCGGTGGGGAACGAGGATTTCAGCCTCAAGGCATTGGTGTTGGAGGCGGGGGAATTGAAAATTCTGGGAGCGGTGTCGTGGAAAAGTAGGTCCTCTCTGTAGTGGTGGTTAAGGCGGAGTAAATCCTCCTGGAAATCACATTGCTGAAAAACTGTAGCGGTGGTGGTGCACGTGATACCTCTAGCAGTGGCAGCGGAAGAGTTTTACCCCCTAGGAATGGTGGTAAGGGTGGACGGGTAGAATCAGCCTGTGATAGTGATAGAGATGGAAGGGTGGAAGCCCCTGGTGGTGTTGGTAGGGGTAGAGAAACCGAACCAACAGGGAGTGGTGGTAATGTTAGTGGACTGGGAGTTGACAAATTAATAGGCTGTCTCCCCCCATCCCCCCCCCCCCCCCCCCCTCCCCCCCCCCTACCTTGGCTGAAAACAAACAAAAACACAATCTAAACCCCGGACAGCAGAGGAGTTTTTCTAAACAACAAATAATATTAATTAAGTTTTTTTTTTTTTAAAAATATATTTTTTTCCCTCAGTGCGGGCCTGGCTTTTTTGTCCGCCACGCCCCATATTTCAGTTTGTTGAAATTCATTGATTAT